GACCGCACGGTCCCACTGTGGGTCAAACCACACAGTCCCATAGGGAACTACAAGTGCAAGCCAGACCCATCGTGCCCTCACACACAGTTTCTGTATAGTGGTTGACATCAGAAAGCTTGTGAGAAAAATGTCACCAGCGAGGATTTCCCTAGAGCCACACACCCACCACAGAAAACCATTGGAGACAATCGATGGAGAATCGCACCCAGAACCGTCCCTCCTACTTCTGCTGTAGACCAGAAGTAGTGCTAGACCTTTGCCTCCCTCACTGCTGAGGGATTTGATAACAGATTTCATGAATGTCAAAGGCTGCATCATGATTCCCAAGTTAGAAAAAGAATTGCTGAGATCAATCCCCAGTGTTTACAGTATCTCTTGCTGCCCAGTGTCTCACAGTCGTCACCCAAACTCATCACATTCTGCACTGAAGCTAGGTAAGGTCTGGTCCTGACCTCTAGGAGTGCCCCAAGTCCCTTCCAGTCAGTTGGATGGCACCATCAGGATCAAGTCCTGCAACAGCTCTTTGTCCCACAGCAAGAGGTAGGTGCACCCTCCAAATATTTAAGCCAAGTTTCATTGGGCAGGAGCTGGAGTTCTCAGGGTCTGTCACAAAAATCATTAAGGTTGGAAAAGACCTCTAAGATTATCAAGTCAAACCATCAGCCCAACACCATCCTGTCCCTGTAATGCAAATCCATTCCTGATGATGCTGCTTCCATGGCATTAGTCAGATTGCAGAGAAGGGTCCAGGAAGTTGGATCTGCAACCTAAAGCCTAATGAACAGGAATCAAAAACCCACTCTGTGACCACTGCCAGAGCAGAGGGGCACGCCCACCGCTCTGCAATCACACCCAAAGACACAGCCATAAAAATAAAAGCTTTTTATTTTTATTTTTTAATATACCATTACAGAAACATCTGAATAACCTTCTCAACAGGACGGGCAGCTCCACGGCTCTGGGGGCGAGTGCAGGCAGCCAGCTCCAGGGTCTGCTATGCCATGCTCCTGAGCTGCCGCTGCTCTCAGTGTGTGACGCCTCACTCCTCACCCTCAGCGGGGAGACCCGGCCCTCCCAGTGTCAGGGTGTCACCTTTTTGTAGGTAATGTGGAGGTGCTGAGTCATGGGCTGCGTAGTGGTTGCCATTGAGACAGTTTGTTCAAGTTTCCCATCGGAATTGAGCCTGAATTTTCTGGTAATCTAAAAAAAGGGGTAAGAAAAGAAATAATGAAATCAAGCAAACAGCATCCGTAGGCTGAATTCCTTACCCATGCTTTCTACCTTCCCTTTGCCATCCTTGTGTCAACGCACCACAGAGGGATGGATATGCTCACTCCAACTATGTGAGTCAACAAGGAGAAGCGATCTCTCCTAAAGAGGGCAGCTACTTCCAAAATGCCTGCTCCAAGACCGTTATCCATGGAGCAACGCAGTGTCCTGGCACTATTGCTGACATCACCTCAGCACAGACAGGCCAACATCCCTCCAGTAGACGAGTGGCTCCGGGCTGGAGCCTCAGGGAGATGCTCTGCACTGGATGATGTCCCCAGGGCAGCCTTCAGAACCACTCAGGCTCTCTGCAGGTCACCACACTGTGCCAGGGTAAGGTGTTTCTCACGCTACATGGGGAGATCACAGAATCCCAGAATGGTGGGGGTTGGAAGGGACCTCAGGAGATCATCCAGTCCAACCCCCCTGCCAAAGCAGGTTACCTACAGCAGGTTGCACAGGACAGGTGGGTTTAGAACATCTCCAGAGATGGAGACTCCACAACCTCTCTGGGCAGCCTGTCCCAGTGCTCCCACACCCTCACAGTAAAGAAGTTTTTCCTCATGTTTCAGTGGAACCTCCTGTGTTCCAATTTGTGCCCATTGCCCCTTGTCCTGTCACTGGCCACCACTGAAGAAAGTCTGGCCTCATACTCTTGACACCCGCCCTTTAGATATTTATAGACATTGAGAAGGTCCCTCTCAGTCTGCTCTTCTCCAGGCTAAACAGACCCAGCTCTCTCAGTCTTTTCTAAGAAAGATGCTCCAGCCCCTTAATCATCTTCATAGCCCTCCACTGGACTCTTTCCAGAAGTTCCCTATCTCTATTGAACATGGGAGCCTGTCGAGCCTTGGCTTGCACCTGCAGCCAGGCAGGGGTTCAGCCCCAAGGCAGGAGGGAAGAGCACAGCCGTCCATCAAGGGGGCTTGACAGGTGACACTGTCCCCATCCCTTCACCCAGGCAGGCTGTGAGTCTGTCTGTGCTGCACCAAACCTCAAGAGAGGCTCTTTGGAGTTGACCTGTGGAGCTGGACCACTTAGGACATGTGCAAGCAGATGCTTCAACCCAGGCTTCAGCAGCTTCCAAACTGGAGAAGGGAGAGGCTAAGTGTCCACAGCAGTCAGCACAGATCGTAGGTCTGCTCCTAGGTGTCACCAAAATAAAGGAGAGAAGTGGAACCATCCTCTTTGAACCTCAGCTCCTGTTCGAGAATAATGCTCTGGAGGGGGTCATTCCAGCTGCCCAGCCCAGCAGGAGAAGGGCCATGTAGCAGAGCAGAGCAGGACGATCCCCTCCCTCGACCGGCTCGCCATGCAGTGCTTGATGCCCCCCAGGACACGGTTGGCCCTCCTGGCTGCCAGGACACACTGTTGGCTCATGTTCAACTTGCCATGGACCAGAACCCCCAGGTCCCTCTCTGCAGGGCTGCTCTCCAGCCTCTTGTTCCCCAGGCTGTGTGTGTGTGTCCAGGGTTGCCATGTCCCAGGTGCAAAATCCAGCACTTGCCCTTGTTCAAATTCCTACAGTTGGTGACTGCCCAGCTCTCTAATTTCTCCAGATCTCTCTGCAGGGCCTCTCTGCCCTCCAGAGGGTCCACAGCTCCTTCCAGTTTGGTGTCATCAGCAAACTTAGTTAGCAGTCCTTCAAGTCCTGTATCCAAGTCATTGATGAAGACATTAAAGAGCAGCGGCCCCAGGATGGATCCCTGCAGGACCCCACTAGTGACCAGTCACCAGCCCAATGTCACCCCATTGACTAGAACCCTTTGAGCCCAACCCGTCAGCCAACTGCTCACCCATTGCATGGTGTGTTTGTCCTGGGGGCAGCAGGACAACCTGCAAACATGATTAATTTGCAGTCTCTTAAACCAGCCCCATTTAGAAATTCCTAAAATGCAGAAGCAATGCAAATGCATTCATTTCCAGTGAAGCTCACTCAAGGACATGTCCATGAGCTATCGCCAGTCCATGTGCTCCAAGACAGTGTCTTCTCTATTAACACATCAATTCCTACGTCTGCAGGGTGCCCTCAATGCCAATATCCAACATGTCCTCCTTCCAGGAGGTTATCACCAGAGGAAGTGCCACTGCTCTGATGTTCATGAGATCAACAGCAGGAAGACACAATGATGTTTTGATTAATATTTGCTGATCAGATGGGGCTTTCTTTGAAATGCATGACTGTTTCCTAAGCAGGAAAAGGCGATTTAAAGGAATATAAAAGACACTCGTCTTTAACAAGACATGATCTCGTAAGGTGCGACCTTAGCTCAGGGCTCCTGAACGGCCCATTTTTTTCTGAATGGACCATTGCAGGTCAGCCAACAAAGTCTGAATGCCAAAAGGAGGAAATGAAATGAACTGGGCAAAAAAGAGGGGGATTTTCTCTTAAAAGTAAGCTTCAATCAAAGGCTGGCTGATGGGAGGAAGGTAAGCCCCATGTACACACGAGACGCACAGGAAGACTGCTACTTCCCACACAGGAGAAGAAACATGAAGCAGTGGGAAAGGGCTGTGCGAAATTGCTGAATTCAAAGTAACCAACATCCACTGCTCTCCCCTTGTCCACAAATCCAGACGTTTTATCACAGAAGACAACCAGGTCAGCCAGGCACCCATGGTAAAACTGCACCAATTGTGCCCAGTCACCTTCTCCTTCACATGTGCAGAAATCTCCAGGGGATGAAGCGAGGCTGACCAGCTTGTAGCTCTAAGTTGACCTTCAGGCACTTTCTGAAGATGGGTGACCCATGTACCATGGGTCTCCAGTCATCAGGAAACTGCTGATCTCCACCACCTTTCAAAGATAACACAGCAGCCTTCCAGGGGCATCAGCCCCTACATACCCACAGACTAAGAGGACAGCCCTACAGTCTAAAAATATTTGAAAACGTGCCTGTTCTCCAGACACTCACAGGAGAACGTGAGCAGGGTGTTTGGAAACACATACAGTCTAAGAGTGCTCCTGCGCTTGGTTATAGAATATTAGTCATTTAGCTTAAATCAGTAAGTTTTAAATAGAATTAATCACCCTGTGTGATTCAATATACTGTGTGTTTAGCCTGACTTACTTAGCATAAGTAGCCAGATTTATTGAAGCCTTAGGCCACAAGCGGCGAACTTTCACCTAGAAAAGTTGAACTTCTGTTGAACTCTTGCTTAGTTACATGAAGGAAGGCCCCAAAACCAGCACAAACAGGGGGATAAAGAGGCTACGACTGTCAGCAGAAACTGCAACCTGTCCAGATAAGAACATCAAGGGTGATGCTCCTGGAGACACAGAAGAAATTCAGTAAGGAACATGAAGACCTCAGACCAGAAATTGCCATTGGACTAAGGCGCACACAGGGCTCATGAACACTGCGTGAAGAATGGGTGCACGGACTGTAAGGGTATAAATGCCCAGGGATTTCTTCGTTCGGGGTCCTTCTCTGGAGACACCCAGCTCAAGCTGCTCCAACTGCTGTATCACTCAAATTATTTATTTTCCTGAATCTGGCATTTGAGACTTTTGCTGCAGGAAACTGAGGAAAAAGAAAAACTCTTCAACAGCTCCCTGCAGATCATCACTTAGCTATATGTACAGGGTGGGAGCTGAGAGCCACTCGCACCTCTGAGAGGCAGGAAGACTGTAATAGGCTGCGATTGTGCCTTATGTCCTGTCAGCATTGCCTCTAGCAGGGACAGACCCCTGGGACAGCTCCACTCTGGCCATGCGGTGAGGCCCCCACACCTCAGCATGGTCACACCAGCCAGCGCCTGCAACACAACCCAGGTAAAGGCTTTTCCTGCAAGAATTACGGCTTGGCTGAGCCACAGCCATCCTGAATCACTTTTTTGAGGGGAACACAACATTATGGTGAAATTTTCTCAAAATGAGCAACTAAAGCAGCAGCATATGTGCCCTGCTCACAACACTCGTAGTCTCTTCATTTCCACAGGCAATTCACGTGGTTCCTGAAGAGGAAAACATGTTAGGAGCTGGTTACCTAACATACCCTCTCATTCCACATCCTCCTTCACCAGCAAGGGCCTTCCAGACACTTACTGGGACCAGTACTTGGCCCTGAATTGCCCTCAGATGCCAGGTGAGCATGGACCTTCAGCTTGGGAGGTTCCCTCTTCCAGCCTTCAGCCAAAGCCAGCCCTGGAACCCTAAACCAGTAAGACACTCACTGGTTTCTGTTGCTTTCCCCACTCTCCTCCTGCCAGTCAATCTGCTCACATTTCAGGTAGCAACTCTGAGAGGCAGCCCGTTTTATTGGGATGCTTGTAATTAAGAGCTCCGCTGCTTTGGAGATATCCATAGTGTTTAACTGCTTTATTTCTCCTGCTACAGAAAGTCGATACAGCTGCTCCTGGGAAAGGAGAAATCCAACAACTTAAAACATGCACCTGAAGGCAGGGGAGTTTGGACTATCTTTTCAGAATTAGGACATTGTTTGTGTAGGCACATACAATTTTTGGCACATCAGTGAATTTATGACACTGGCTGCATCCACGCAAACTTGTGCTCTCAGTTATCTGTGGGTTGGTTCTATAGTGCATAAAAATTAGATTGCAAAATTAAGCCTCAGAAGTCCAGAATAAGACCACGTTGTATTTGCCACAATCAAAGTAGTGTCTTCTCTCCTGAGAGCCACACCTCATTTGTCATCCTTCAAAAATTGCCATGAATCACTTGGTTCACATTATCAGAAAAAACAAAACAGATGCAAGAACATGCCAGTACCTACTCTTTGTGCAAGCCCTTTCAACCTCGCTCTTTCTTAGCTGCTAGTCAGCCAAGACAACTTTATATGCGACAGCTAGGATTCCAGTGGCGACCTCAATATGCCACACTAACCCCAGCACTGCCACCTTACCCCAACGCCACTGTACCCCATCCAGCTGTGTCAACAAACTGCTGCTAAGTCAGAAATCAAGAAGCAGTCAACCAAGACTGGAGCAGACAGAAAGTGCCAGCCCTGCCAAGCAGCCACAGATTGGAAGAGAGCACATAGCAACTTGTGAATGCCCTGAAAAGCAAGCAAGATTTGCAAAGATAAGCTAGAGCTCCAGTGAAAGGCAGGCTTTCCTAAAATATCCTGATAAGGGCCAATACCAGACATACCTCACATGTGCACCCTTATACTGTAATTAATCCAGAAGACCAGCGTTAAGAAGTAACACCATTGCTGTACAAGGGTATTTAGACATGACTTTCCTATTCTGTTCCCTAAGGACCTGCTACTGGCCACTGCTGGAGACAGGATTCTGAGTTAGCTGGTCTGATTCAACACATCAGTTCTTATCTTAATGATGCCTCTGGGTCTTGTAATGCACAAAACTCCTAAAGACTGTTACAGAGAGGATAAGCCAGGATGCCATGCAATATTTCCAAGAACTCCTGATGGCCATCTGTAATTAAAGCATGCTAATCAACCTGTCCTCTCAACTAGACACCTTCTGCAGCTAGCAAGATCATGTGAATTGCTCGTCACGTGTGCACTCACCTGCTCTACATGGGGTTTCTTGGCAAAGGAGATCCTGGCTATGGAGTGAGAAGCTATAGACAACTCCTGTCCATTCACCTCCCCTTCCTCCACCTCCACCAGACCTAATGAGAAGCAAGGTCATAAATATTATTTAGCTACAAGGGTTAATGATATCACAATTATTAGGCTATGCAACAGACGACCACTCTCCCTGAAGAACGGTTTTATTTGACCTAGCACATATTGACAGCTGCAAATCAACACAACCTCAGCCATGTAATGCTGCTTAGAAACATCTAGCCAGACTTACTCACACCATGTGGGATAAGTATCTCACTGCAACTGGCAGTTTTCCCTTCAGCACCTGCTCAGGAGTTTTAGATGAAAATTTAAGCATCAACTGGGTTTTAACACTTTCACTTACGATTTAGACGTGGTTCTCTCTCTCTCATTCAGTGCCTGTAAGGTGTGTAACAAGTACCAAGACTCTACATCCAGACAGTGGGAGATTCTCCTAGTTTAGGAGCTAAGACTGCACTGAGATTACTCTCCAAGATTTGTAAGGGAATAGTAGGAGAGAAGCTCCTCTGTTACAGTGCTGTGGAAGCTCTTGGTAGTGCCACAGCCCAGTCAGGGTCTCTAATATGGGTCACATCAAACATTCCTGGATGGAGAGGCTGCAAAGGGAGTTTAAAACCTCCACAGCTCCACCTTGCCAGGGCCACAAGCTCTACCCTGCACCACAGAATCAAATACAATGAGTGTTGACAGCAGTTTAAGTGGGATGTTAAAATCTGACTCTGATTTTCTAAGGGTCAGGAGCATCTGGCCAAATACAGCATTAGCAATAGGACTCCAGAGGAGCTCATGAACCAAGACACGCTCCTCTCTGTTTCTACCACAGGGTCAACTGTGGCCAATTCAACAGGAGCAGAGGGAACAAAGCATCTTAACTGTACACATTCCCCCTGCCTCCCCACAACAAGGCTACAAAGGCATCAAGAATGCCACTGGTCACTTATCACCTGCCACCATTAAGGCTTAGACTACAATTCTTGCTCCAAAAGCAGAGGGTTTTTTGGTTTACAAAGCTACATCTGCAAATACCAACATATCATTTGAGGAGAGGATACCCTTTGAGTCTCCTGCATGAGTGTTATTTCCACATGCAGTCCTTTCGTGTCACAGAAAGCAACACCATCTGTGCAAAGCTGGTCCTAGAAACTCAGTGCTTTTGACCCAGGTTCATTTATTAATTTATTTTCACCACGGGTTCAGCACCAAAGAGCAGCATTGAACCCGTGGTGAAAATAAATTAAATGAAACTGTGAGAGGTGCAATAATTTTTTGGAAAAGTAATGAAATAGCACAGCAGGGTAAGGACCATTTCTTTTCTCCAGCGAGGATATCAGGTGTGTACCTGTGTTCTGGGCACTGATGAAGGCCACCTTATTAGTGTCAGGTTTGAGGCGGATGAATCCACATTCTCGGTGCATGGGCTTCCTGGTATCTGGATGGAAGGCGTTGAACCTGAGGGGAAACCAAAATACAAAAGCTGCTGGTTTTTTTCACTGAAAATAGTGTTTGGCCTGGTTTCATCTCAGAGGAAATGGTATTTTATTTAACTACATGACTGCCTGCAGTATTACTGAAGAGGAAAAGCCTAACAACACTTCACAGTTGGGAGATGTAACTGTGTAAAAATACAGTTACTTTACAGGCACAGATATTTCTTAGAGCTGGAGTTAGTTATTTAAGTTTGAGCTTCCCATTTTCCACAGCTCCTGGGTCTTTCTAAGAGCTAGCTCAGAATCTCCCTCCGGAAGTCAGACATTTCACAGATGCTGAAGCCATACTCTATCTCAAATATTTCCTTTTCTCAAATAAATCTCTGGAATTACAATATCATCTTTATTTAGCTTTTAAACCTGGCAAGTTGCTTTTTTGTATATTATTTGCTGAAGGCAGTAACAGCAGACTTATTTCCTCTTCAAAAAGAAAAAAAGTTCAGCTCTAAATTCTTATTTATTCTTCATGAGGCTTTAGAGTTGTATGTTTGATCACCCATAATGTAGGTGATTATACATATCATGCATGTTCATATATTACATTAGTGCTACAGCATTCCTAAGCCTACACAGGTAACTGAATTAAGCAGCAGCTTAAACACAAAAGCCAGGTATCTATAATGGAGTGGATTATGCTATTGGTATTTCTTTGTCTTAATCCCTTTCTTTTCATACTCTTTTTCCCACAATTTCCCACTCTGGAAAGAAGGATGAAGAGAAGAAGAAAGAAGATGACTCCTTCTACAGGTAAGGAGACAGACGCAACTTTGGAGCTGTTGCTGCTAAATCTGCAGCTAGAACTCCCTCACACCATAGCAGCTTCCACACATGCCTCTGCTGTGTAACTGGGATTTGCCTGCTGGAAACGGCCAACACCAGTCAGTTTGGCCACCATGACCTCTCTTGGGACTGGGGATATGCTGTACCATCAGCTGCCACCCCAACGGTGGCAAGTGTGCAAGAAGAGCTTGACTAAGAGGCTTGTCCAGGCACTGGCACACGGCAAGCTGGAGCAGTTATTTATTTATAGAATCGTAGGATGTTGTGAGTTGGGAGGGACCCACAAGGATCATCAAGGCCAACTCCTGTCCCTGCACAGGACAATCCCAAGATTCACACCATGTGTCTGAGGGCATTGGCCAAATGCTTCTGCAATCTTGTCAGGCTTGGTGCCATGACCACCTCCCTGGGGAGCCTGTCCCAGTGCTCCACCACCCTCTGCCTCAAGAACCTTCTCCTCATGGCCAACCTCAGCCTCCCCTGGCACATCTTCCTGCCATTTCCTCTGCTCCTGGCGTTGGTGGCCAGAGAGAAGAGATCAGCACCTGCCCCTCCTCTTCCCCTTGGGAGGAAGTTCTAGACCACGATGAGATCTCCTCTCAGTCTCCTCTTCTCCAGGCTGAACAAACCAAGTGACTTCAGCCTCTCCTCGTAAGGCTTCCCCTCTAAACCCTTCACCCTACTAAAGAAGCACTGAGAGCTGAAAAGTCCAAAGCAAGTGTTTTCTGCGAAATAACATATAATGAACCAACATTTCCTAGAAGACCAGTAGCACGAGGTGCAGCACATGGCAGCCCTACAGATGGTAGGAGAATCCTGTGGGGTTCAAAGAACTGGAGACAAGGAAGGAGGAGCACAGCTAAGGCATGCAGTTCAGGAGTTTGGGTGCCTCGCATCTGCTTCTGGCTCCCCAATGTCTGCTGGGTACAGATACACCAATTACTCCCCCCGCTTGGCTTTGTCTCTAGATAAAGGATGTCTCCTTTCAACCATGTGGTTAGAGGAAGAACCAGGAATTTCTATCAGTGGTGCATGGCTGCACCCCTGCTAAGTATTGTCCTAGCACCTCGGCTGCCGTGCTCTGCAGCTACTGAAGCCAAGTATTCCACAGAGTTGTGCCTCATGGTGGGATTATCACAGAATCACAGATTGGTACTGGTTGGAAAAGCCCTTTAAGATCATCAAGTCCAACCATAAACCAAACACTGACAATTCCACCTCTAAACCACGTCCCTAAGCACCTTATCTGCCCATCTTTGAAATACCACCTTGGGGATCACTTGCTCTTCCAGGATTGCGGTTTGGGTTTCAGGACTATCTCTGTTCCAGGATCGCTGGCTGGGGACAGGCTGGGCATTGGTGAGCAGGTGGCGAGCAACTGCACTGTGCATCACTCATTTGTGTGTTCTATTATGACTATTAATATTATTATTTTAATTATTGTTATTTTATTTAAATTATTAGATTGTTTTTATCTCAACCCACAAGTTTTCTCACTTTTACCCTTCTGATTCTCTACCCTGTCCCACTGGGGGCGGGCAGGGAGTGAATGGCTGTATGGTGCTTAGCTGCTGGCTTGGGTTAAACCATGATGA